GGCTCGTGCGTGGCCCCGCCCTTGGGCGCCTGGCACGTGCGTGGCCCCGCCCCCGGGTGCCCGGCAGGCATGCAACATTGGGGACCACTGGTCTATTATATATTGATTCTGTGGCCAGTGTGCTGTACTACCCTGATCCTGGAGGGACTGTATATTGACTGTGTGGCCACTAGGCTGTGTTACCCTGAACACAGATGGGGGAGCATTTAGGCTCTGTGGCCACTAGGCCGTACTGCCCTGTATGCAGGTTGCAGTGCATAGACGCTATGGCTGATAGCCCACCCTATCCCAAGTGGAAGTCCAAGGGGCTGCAGCGGACCTGTCACCGCCTTCTCTGGGGGGGCAGACAAGGTGCCAAAAAACCATCTGGTATTTTTGAAATACAATTTTGGCAACCCTGCCTGCATTCCATCCAAAACCTCTCCTCTCACATCCTCTAACTCTCCCATCCAAACATCCTCTAGCAATAACACACTTTTTGAGGCAAACTGCAACCAACCAGGCCATCCTGATCCATCCTGAACATACATTGCAGGGACACAGGCCATGCCATGGTTTTACAAAAATAGTTTGTGTGTATTCAGACGTTCTCATTCACTTTGGCCCTGTTCGTGTAATTGCTTTGACATCGCCAATTCTACTCTGCATGGGGTTGTGAAATTAGTTTTGCATTTGTGAATATAATTCTGATCGATGGATAAGCAGTAGTTTTGAGGGGTTCCCCATAAAGTGTCACCTGGAACTGGGATAGCAGTAAGCCCACCTGACCCACCAGTCTGGGTTCCCTAAAGTACTGCTGTGGCCAGTTCAGCTCTGCACGGGAAGGATTCAAAAGAACTTCCCAGGCATGCACCCCCCCTTGGGAGTATAAACCCAAAATTATGCCATCTTGCCATGCACCAGGAACTTTACAGTGTACGCTCATGAACTTTGCCCCCTCCCTCAGTGCAGAAAGGAAATATACAACAGCATCCTGCACCGAGTTATGACTCTAATACAAATTGGTTTGAAATAAAGCAAAAACAAATGTATTAGTTACAAATGTAACCCTTCTGCCAGGTAGTGCCAGCAGCAGCCAGAGCCAGGTTCAATATCTAGGGGTCCCCTTTCAACCATCTCACACAGAACTGGCTCGAGCCCCCACCCAGTAGCCTGGGAAATTCACACACCTCTGGGTGCCTCTTAGAGGCAATGCTTCCCCACTCACAAGCACAGCGTCT